AACCCATGTCTAAGCAAAAGCTTGTCGAGGAGCGAGGGGAAGAAGGGAGAGTAGGGAGGGCATATATTTTCGTTCTTCTTGTTTTTTCCGTTTCGTGCCCCCCGCCTTCTTCCTCCTGCGGTGCGTGATGAATTCTATTATTATTGCGAGAAGGGTCCAGGCGTTCCTTTCCCTCGCCAAGGGTGCTAACGTCGAAGTTTGGTGCTCACGAGAAGAGCTTTTTTTCAGCTTATTTCGCTTTCCCCAGCAAATTTTGTAATTTTCTCACTCCATGGGGATTCGAACTCACGACTCCATGCGACTAGATATATATAGCGGTTTTCGACGGGATATAGTCTACCAAGCACTACTATTGTTATTAATAGACCACCGGGGCGACCGGGTTCGCGATGATGGCGATCGGTATTATTTGTGTCTCAAATCGAACGAAAATACTTCGTCAACAATGATAGATGCTTGGTGGGAGCGAAGATTGCGCGCACACACACAAGCTACGAAGAAAGCGCTGAATGGATGTGCACACATATATATCGACATGTTGTGCCCCAACGTAGCGCGCTCTCCTGTTGATCCAATGCAAGGCTGACCTACCTCTAACAACGACAGCTGAAATGCATGTAGCTTGTTCATTATTGCAGCAACGAATTATTAGCCACGTAGGACGCTGCTCCTCCTTGCAAGCAAACGGGACTGTTTCATTTCTCTTGCTTTTTGGATTGACAATGAAACAACCCCCCCGCGCCCCCCCAAAATACATGCATATACCTAATTTTTTATTCGTCCCGTGAGATGCCAATGCACCGACAGGAAAGCTACCGAGGGTTGGATGTGTCTTGAACTATTTTGTTCAACTTTGCTCTTCCTATCGACACGCAGAGAAGTGGGCACGCTATATGGATGGGCGGGCGGAGAGTGAGTGAGGCGGAACGATTATTCGCCACATTACATTCGATCGAAAGATTGGTAGATTCCTGTTTCACTTCCACGCGCCGCACGCTCCACATACATATCGAGCTTACCCATCAACGTCCGTTCTAGGCCCCTCTTAAACGACTTCCACATTGACTGCTGAACCGGAGCGTGGAGAACACACCTGGTAGGGAGTTCTGCGCATTTCTATTGGCCTATCCTAGTGAATGTGAAAATGCATATATAATTGCCACCTCTTGCTTGTATTTATTCGTGAAACGATGGCAGGGTACGAGTATCATCAGTGGTTTGGATAATAGATCCAATCGATTGCAGGGACGCGAACGAATGAAGTCTGCATTACTTAACGTATCGATATCAAGAGATGAGAAAAGTGGTTTTTCTGACTATCATATTTTTCCTTAAATACTGATTGGGGGTTCTCGGAAGGTACAATCTATCCAAGAACTGAGCGCTACGTACTGTAGCGCGCCAAGTTATGAGTATGCCTGATTTCTCGATTCCTCTGTCATGATGCAGGACTAGGGCAGGCAACAGGCTCCCTACTCACTTTGGTTTTTGATGGAAGAATACAAAACAATAAATAATATGCATGTTTCACTAGTATTTCACCCTTTCACTCGTATCTTCTCAATTCACCAGGGTTTCACTTTCACTCATATTTCACTTGCTTTTCACTTCCCCGATGCATATACGACGCCCAATGCTTTCTGTGTGACCACGGGTTGGAGCGAACGGTGGAAAAGGTGTGAGCGCTGATTTGAAATGAATCAAAACAAAAACATGCCTCGATTTCCAATCATGTCATTTCATTCATAGTAGGGAGTATTGAAGGGAGACTACATAAAGCAATCGTTCGTCCAGAGTAGTAACGATCGACGATGTGATAAAGTATCATCAGAGCAACAGAATTTCTGTAATGTCCCACGACCCATCTCATTCACAATATGACCGGCGGCATCTCGTTCAACGGTCAGCGAAACAGTTATTTCCAATCGAGAGTCTCTGAATTATCTATGCATCTACCGTTACATTTCCTGGGATTTATCCATGTCATGAAGAACTATAGTGCAAAGCAGCTACGTAGGTGACGAAGCCATGACAATGTTATCCTTCTAGTTTAGGTTGGGCTTTTTCTTCCTCCCCACCAACAACAACATAGCCGATCGCGGACGGGTGCAATGGCATACTTATTCTGCTTGGCAGCGGGGGTGGGTGTAGTCCTCAATCATACACAGAACGACGCCCTTTGTTCCATCCATACAACAATCAAATCCCTCTGGCTGGCATCGTAGAAGATCAGGTGGAGTAGATGAATGTGAAAGCAATGTATATCTCAGCTAGAACATCGACAAGTTGACACACAAAAAATGATATCCATCAATTCTTCACCGGAGGAATCCGTGAGGGCGACTCGACGGTTGCTTATTGCAAAGGGAGGCAACAATAATGAACACCATGCCTCCTGTTTTTCTGTACCAATTTTGACTGGATTTATCTCTGGTGGGCCATTCGGCAGCGCATGGGGGCGATGGGGATGTTAATTTCAACTAGGAAGAACCAACGAAGGGGAGAAGCAGGTGGAAAACGTGACGCTGTGGAGGGTTTGCTTGACGAACGTACGTTGTCCAGCAGCGCATCACTTGAGTGAGAAGACTCCCAATTGGAAAAGTCTTCACATCTTTGCTGCTGACCGTTGAATGAGAACCTTGTCAACGTGAATAGCGAGGTTGAAAGAGATGGGTTGTGGGGCAACTCCGAACGTCTGTGCTGATGGATTTCACTCAAATCAATCGTGTAGGTCCCTTTCACAGAAGTGAGTTAAATTGGCAAAACGGCGTGAAACAGCGTTCGTTGCCTACTTCCACCCGACAAAAGAACGAGCAGCATTGTCCTAGTCCAAGATAATGCCGGAATTAGTTGTAGAAACACGCAGCATAGACTACCACCCACAATCTTGCGTGCTGGGGTTGTAGGCTGCAAGCAATATGCTTTGCATTTCGTGGCGGAATATCCACAAAACGCAGTTGCCTCATGCCCGATACATGCATGACTATCGCCTTTCGCAACTATCGGCAACAATTCCTTCCCACTTTTTACGTTGGTGTCCGCGGTGTGATGTCTGTTTTTCGTGGAAGGGATACAGCGAACCCGGGTGTAAATCCCGCCTTTCACGTACCAGAGTTAGTCAGAGTAGACCGAGACAAATTTCGAAGTCTTTCAGCATCTTTTGGCGATGTCGACTGGCCAACGTAGTGAAAAGCCATGCAACCAGCCGGTTGAGTCCCGAATCCCCGTACAACGAGCATTCATGATAAGCAAACACTAGAGGCTCTCCACCAACCCGGGGGCAACGTGTAAGCCCCTCGAAACAAATTGTGGCCTCCATGTCACCAACGTCTGTCGAGGGTAATTCCCTCTTCTCGCACAGCTAATACTCGATTTCGGGAGCGAGCGTGGAAGTGCAAGAGGACTGCACGGGACGCACACCCGTTGGTAACCACCTCGAGGAATATGGACATGCCTTCGAACAAGATTTCTCGGGAAAGTGTAGTTCGTAAAAGCGACCCGCTGACAGGGCCTAAACACCTGAGTGACTCAAGACTTCTTGGGTATTGTCAGCATGTGGTGCTGCTGAGGTTCATACTTACTTTCATGGAAACAAAACGCACCATTCGCAAGCGAAAAAGTCGCACTATTTCGCCACATTTCTCCCTACATTAACTGCTTCGAAAAGACGATGCTCTATGGTAACACTTCAGCTGCTGTGCTCCGTGACACTCAAGTCCTCCCGTCCCATGCAACAAGACAATCGCAGTGATTGGCCGAAACTCACCCCGCCACTCTCGTTCTTGCGCCCTCAATCACAGGGAGGGCAAAAACTATCCGCAAATAGGGAAGGCTGCGAGAAACGCCAATGAACCAAAAGGAATGCACGCGGGATCAAAAAATACCAGCTGCGGGGGGTGGCACTAGGGAAGACAAAAACCGGGCATGGGCACATGATATTTCGGAAGGAGAGGGGGCGGAGAAAGTACGCCACAAAGACGATACCGCGTCCAACAACATGACTTCAACACACAGAAAATGCCAAACATGTCCACCGAACAAACCATGCACCAATTTACGGACGACAAAGACACAGTGGTAGGGCCAAGAACCAGGGATCGGTTGCACGATAAACCGGTGGGGTAGGGGAGAATGGGGGAGCGTTGCGGTACGGAGAGTAATACAACAACGGGTCGGTGATATATCAGGTGACTGACATACGCGCCTTTTGCCCCCCACGGCGATACCGACTAAGAAAACGTTGCTTGCCCAATTGCGAATATTCTCGCAGTTGACTCGGCAGCACACCGCCCACGCAAAACCACGCCCCTCGGCCGAACTGAGAACAATGACAAAAGGATACATACCAAACCGGAACAGCAGCCGCAGAACCATACCGCAAACTTCGCAAAAACAAACAAAACGCATAAGCAGTATTTTCTTTGGGAGCAACGGTTAATGCCGGGTGCTCCTCAGCCGCCCAGCTCTTTCTTCCCAAAGGAGTCGGCTCTTACAGCACGGCCCCCGACAGTGTCTGTGGTCAAGCCCTCTCGTGATACTGCAACACGGCCCACTCGGTCCGGTCGGCCTGCACTGCCCTGGGGGGGCGGAGGGCGAATTGGAGAGTTGGGCACCCAAGGCACAGGTTCGTTCACCTCCGGCAACAACAAAAAAACACCGGCAATTTTGACAAGGAAGCAAAATGCCGCGAGGACTTGTGGAAGAAACGTCCAGACAGACTTTGACGTCCACGTTTCGCAGCGTGTTTCGACTCCTGTCGTCAAGTTGCATTCTTCGGAACCCTCGGACCTTCTGCGCCAGGTCTCTAATGAAAAGGTTGGAATAAAAAAGAACGTTACAGACATCCCATGCACGCACGCGCGACATTCCCGAGAAAACAAACAAGACTCGCGACGAAAACCATCAAGAGAAAAACAAAACAGACAACCGGGACACCGTTAATTTGAGCTGGTGACCACAAAAAAACATCAAAACCGTATAAACCTCCACTCCGCCGTCCATCCACAACGACCTTCGACCCTGCCATGTCACAGAATAAAGTACTGATCCAGCTCGTGCCCTTCCGCCGCCGGCCCCCCAACCTTCTCCGCAACAGAACGAACCCCACCCTCCCGCCCAGCATCCCCCCCAACCCAAACCTCGTCTTTGCCTCCACCGTCGCCCCTCTGCTGCTGGAGGCGGCGGTATGCGGCGTCCAGGCGAGCCTCCCGCGTGCCGCAGAGGCTCGGGATCACGGCTCCGCAGGCGTCGACTGTTAGGTCGGCGGCGGCACGGACAAGGAAGGCCGCGAGCGCGAGGACGAGGGAGGAGGCCGCGCCGAGGACGTGGTCTGTCGTCACTTCAGGGTGGGTGACCTGTTTCGTTTTCGGGCCGTTATACGTTTGGTGGGAAATAGTTGATGTTAGCAGGCAATGGGGGGAAGGGAGGCCAACTGTAGAACAGTTGCATGGAGAGGGAGGGGGGGGGGG